TGGTTTTTGGTTTTTTTTTTTTACATTCCCTTCTGCCTATACATTTATGCAGCTGTCAAAGAAAATTATTTTCTCTTGACTTCAATTTATTTCCCCAAAAAAGTCACTGAAGAAGAAATATATCTCTTTTCAACTTCTGAAATGGCTCCCCGTTCATAAATGAATTCAGAATAACTCTTGGTCAAAGCATACCAGTAAATTAAGGCATAGTCACTTTCAAAGGAGATGAATTTTAACTGACACATTTAAACACATTAAGAATTAAGTTCTTTCAAGTGAAATAACTTCAGGAGTATAGTGATGAAGTTCAGCCAAGCAGGAGGCTATAGGACTCGGGATAAAAAGTAAATTAAACATAATGTCCCTTACTGAGCAGCTTAGTCTAAAATAACACATAATAGGCATAGAAACACAAACATATAATGTATAAATAAAATGTACAGATATTGAGCAAGATTACTTAAAATCGACATGAAGGCATTAGAGTGGAAAAGTATTCATTTCAGTACAAAATTGGTTCCAAGTTCAAAAATACAAGTGAATCATATTCCTGTATTATGGGACCATGCCACTAAGTTCAGTTTTTAATTTGGCACAGTCCCTTCGACTTTGTACGCAAGTAATAGTTTCTGTTTTCATTCTAGGACAGCAAAATGCAATCCCTCTGTCTTGGGGTTGTGGGGAAAAGGGGCCACTGCTTATGGGTGAATAGTTAACCATAATGTCACATCCCGTGTAGGGAATACAAGCTTAACTTGTGCTGTATAAGATCTCTGGAGAGTGGTTACAGGTCAAAGCTATAACTAAAAACACATTTGCTAAAGTTTGCAGAATTCCATGTGTGGCATAGTTTCTCATAAGCCATGAAATGTCATTCTCTGGGTCTCACTCCCTACACCTTGGGAATTCAAAGAGAAAGCTATTTTAAAAGGAAAAAAGCTGCACAGTGGCTCATGCCTATAATCCCAGCATACCGGCTGGAGATCAGGAGTCAAGACCAACCTGAGCAGGAGCAAGACAAGATTCCTGTCTCTGCAAAAAAAAAAAAAAATTAGAAAAATTAGCCGGGTATGGTGGTGAGACTTCTGTAGTCCCAGCTACTTGGGAGGCTGAGGCAAGAGGATCACTGGAGCCCATGCGTTTGAGGTTGCAGTGAGCTATGATGACAATGTTGCACTCTGGCCTTGGTGACAGAGCGAGACCCTGTCTCAAAAAAATAAATAAATAAAAGGAAAAAGCCCAACTTCCGGTTGATGTTCTGGGCAGAAATTCAGCCTCGCAGTTAGAGGAGCTGGAGAGGTCCTATGCCCCTTTTGTTGTCGCCGTCAGCAGCAGAGGTGTGGTGTCTATAGAAGGCCCTGCTGACCTGAATCCTCTCTCTGCCACTTTCTGGATATGTGGTTTTAAATAAGTCACTTAACATCCTGACCTTCAGAGCCCTCGTCTGTAAAACAGGATGAAATTACCACCATAGGAAGTTACCATGCATCTTGGTCTTGCCACATGCTGCTGTGGGAGGACCGTCCCCGCTTCAGATTCACCAACAGCATGAATCAAGAACAGTTAGCCAAGCATCAGGCTCAGGTCCAGATAGGGGGCAAGGGTACAGCTCCCAGAAGGAAGAAGGTGGTACATAGGACGGCTAGAACTGATGACAAAAAGCTTCAGAGTTCTCTTTAAAAAAAAAAACTGGCCATGAACAATAAAGCTGGTATTGAAGAGGAAATGTGATTAAAGACGACGGGACAGTTATTCACTTCAACAACCCCGAAGTCCAAGCTTCCCTCTCCACCAAGACCTTTGCAATTACCGGTCATGCAAAAGCTAAACCGATCACAGAAATGCTTCCCGGAATATTAAGTCAGCTTGGTGCTGACAGCTTAACAAGCCGTAGGAAGTTAGCTGAACAGTTCCCACGGCACATCTTGCACAGCAAAGCACCAAAACCAGAAGACGTTGATGAGGAGAAGGATGATGTTCCAGATCTTACAGAAAACTTGAATGAGGGATCGAAGAATGAAACTAACTAAAATTTCTTCTGGTTTTTGGAAGCTGGAATGGACTAGTTTTAACAAATCAGCTCTGTGGTTCCAAAGTTTTACAGACACAAGAACATCAGCTGTTGCTAGTGCAGGAATATAAATATTTTGTGTATTAATAATCCTGTTCAGCATTTTTCGGTCATTTGTGCATTTTGCACTTCCTCCCAGGATCTGTTCTTTTGGTCAAAATATGAAGCATTGGTGAAGTGTGAGGGTGTGTTGGTTTTTAACTCCTGGGTTTCTTGCTTTATTTTTTGTTGGAGTCTTTTTGGTGTGTGTATGTGAATGTCTGCATGTCGGTATGCATGTGTACGGTAAAGAGCAAATTGGAAAACAGGTCTATCTATCCTTCTCCTTTCCCCAGTAGAAATAAAACAAATCTTTCCCAAAAAAAGAAGAAGAAGAGGATGTTATCATGAAGGTTAAAAAATAATGTCTGTCATTCACCTGGCCCGGTGCCTAGAGAACACTAAGGACACCGTAGCTGGTAACATTTCAAAGGAAGGCGAGCTCACCCACAATGCTTATGATGCAGATTTAAGGCATCCTCGGTAAAATCTCCATATGGAGCTGACGTCACTGGCATTCCCACTGAACCACTTTCCATTCCCTCAAGAAGTGAAACAAATGGACTGTGGCCTTTCTCCTCCAGCTGAGTCTGCCTGGGGTTGCCGCATCCCTCCCACAGCTATAGCAAATGTGTAGCTTCTGCAAATCTCTTTCTTAAGACCTCTTTATTTAGAAATCCTGCTTGCTTGCTGTTTGTGATGTGAATAGGTTGGAGGAAAATCTCTCCCTTCACACGTGTCCCTTATGTAATAAGATAAAAGGAAGCTCTAATTGGATTTTGCCATGTCTGCCCTGGGAACGTGATTTAAAAAAAAAAAAAAAAAGGCCAAACAGTCCTTCCATCGGCCCAAACTGATCCTGAGTATTCCCCATGGAGTTTGCCATGGACTTTAAGTGTGACCTCTGCACATCTGTCTGTCCCCAACTCCCTGGCGAGCACAGCCAGCTCTGGTTCAGGACTATTCACCTTTTTTATTTTTTTTTTAATTGAGGCAGAGTCTCACTTTGTCATTCTCTGTAGAATGCTGTGGCGTCATAGCTCACAGAAACCTCTAACTCTTGGGCTCAAGCGATTCTCTTGCATCAGCCTCCCTAGTAGCTGAGACTACAGGTGCCCACCACAATGCCCGGCTATGTTATTGTTGTTGTTCAGCAGGCCTGGGCCATGTTTGAACCCACCAGCCTGGTACATGTGGCCAGTGCCCTAACCACTGAGCAACAAGACCCCCAGGACTGTTTCCCTTAAGGAAGGCTGGAATCAGGGCAGAAAATATCTGGATATTGGTGTGGGAAGGAGGCAGCACTGAATGGAGGAACCCAGGCTACAGATCTGGAATCCCTCAAGAGTTAGTCTGACTCCTCAAAGGCCAAACAACTGCTGAATATTGTGAAACTAACTGAAGCCATGAAGGCCAGAGAAAGGAGCATTCTCCGGAAAAAGGACTCCCAGGGGAAGGTGAAGCAGCAGGGGCTGCAGAGTCTCCCTTTGCAGGGGCACCTGCACACCAGCACCAAGCAAAGACATTGGAGTGTGTGTCACCATTAGAATGACAGTAACATCTAAATGTGCCTACACTGTATGTTGGAACCCCTTACTACTTAAATTAACATACCAGGCAATTTGCCTTTATATCAACACTCCCTTTTTTAATTTTTGAAAAATTTTTCTCATGCATAACACATTTATGACCCAGCAGCTTGATTTATTCAAGAGCTAAATCAATTCCATAAGCATTTCTTGAATGCTGACTTTGTATAAGACGCTGGGCAAATGGACTAAAAACTGAAGATGGTGCTAACAGCAGCAGCAGTACTTAAACACCTTCATGTGGGCTTGACTGAAATACCTGGTTTAGTTTTCAAAAAGATCAGACAATTTTGACATAATTCAAGTTATATAACAGTTACAGGCTTATGTCTTTATTATTTCTGCTATCGAAGAAAAAAATGGTCCCCAAACATCAAGTTATTGTATCAGTTAAAAGAAGCAAAAAGTGCAGCCAAATCTTAAATAATGGCCAAATATTTACAAAATATTATGGTTACTTGTACGTACTAAGTAAGTAATCTCTCACTGGCCTCACAGATATCTGATAATATTGAAGAGAAATTAAGTCTTTACCACATAGATTCAAGCCTCACTTTAAAATGTACAGAAAGCCTGCTTAGAGTCTTCTTTAAGAATGGTATGTATAATTTTTTTAATACTGAAAGTTTTATCTGAATTAATTGGCCATGATGTATCCCAAAAGAACTTAAAAAGTAGAAAGTATAAAAGAAAGGTACAGAGAGATGGCTTCTCAAACTTGGGGATTTAATCATTTATTACTTTGAATAGTGTTTCCTCTTTCTCCCTATTGCTAATGGGCAATTATCAATTTGAAGTTGTCACCCAACCCATTCATCCAGTCAGCACAGTTACTGAGCAACTATTACAGGCAATACCTGCAGACGGAATACACGTAATAAGTGGTGGATGGAGATTAGACAAGGCCCCTGGTTTCAGGAGGTTTACCAAGAAGACCAATTCTTACTCGAAAATGGCACTTTTCAGTGTTTAAGAAGTCTTCTTTTCTGAATCAGAAAAATGAAACCATGCCATGTCCTAATGACAAGTTTTTAAATATTCAAAAATTCCGATTCTAATATCAGTCTGGAAAACGAACTTATTCCCTACCTTCCCCAGTGCTCGTCACAGCTTCTCTGGAACTACATTCCACTAGAAGCTATATTAGATCATCATTGGATGGCTACACTGGGTCTTCTAAAGGAGACAAATAGGAAAAATAAGGGAAGAACTTCTAAAAGCTAAAGGCTTAGGAAGAAGTGCTTATTAATTTCTCCTTCAATAATCACTCACTGCTTTCCCGCTCTGTGTAAGACATGGGGCAGTGCTGAGAATATAGGCAGTAGAATAATTTGGAGAATGATTCCTTATGACAACCTAACTCTGCTCCACCCAGCTTTCTTTTTAGTATAGCAAAGATCTAATGGAAAAGATCATTCAATTATTTCTATATCAATGAATTTTCATTACACATAAATCATATACTCACTGAGTTGGCCAAAAAGGAGTGGGGGAGGCACCTGGTTTTGGATGCAGAGAGTGAACTTTTCAACTGCCACACCCATCTCGCAACCTATAAAAGGTTACCTCCGGGGCTTGCTGACACCTTCCCCACGCTATGGATCTCCCAGGCAACAGCGTGTTACTCTCAGTGCGCACCTCCGGGCCGTCCCGGCGGCTGTCTGCGCAGAGTGGGATAGTGGGCAGACCCAGGGGCATGTCTGCTTCCAGTGTTGGAAATGGCTATGGGGGAAACGCCTTTGGCTTTGGAGCCGGCTATGGGGGAGGATTTTCTGCTGCTTCCATGTTTGGTTCTAGCTCTGGTTTTGGTGGTGGCTGTGGAAGCTCCTTGGCAGGAGGACTGGGAAGCTCCTTGGCAGGAGGACTGGGCAGCGGTTATGGGCGAGCCCTGGGGGGAGGTGGCTTTGGAGGGCTGGGAATTGGATTTGGGGGAAGCTCTGGAAGTGCCTCCCTAGGTCTTATCTCTGGCAATGATGGAGGCCTTCTTTCTGGATCAGAAAAAGAAACCATGCAAAATCTTAATGATAGATTAGCCTCCTACCTGGATAAGGTTCGAGCTCTAGAGGAAGCTAACACTGAGCTAGAAAACAAAATTCGAGAATGGTATGAAACACGAGGAACTGGGACTGGAGACCCTGCGTCACAGAGTGATTATAGTAAATATTACCCGCTGATTGAAGACCTCAGGAATAAGGTAAGAAGATGTTTTCTGGAGGCACTTTGGGGATTATTTTTCTTTTTGACTATTACAATGTTTCACAGTGATAACCCCCTGCAACTTGATATTTTTTCAATTCAACTGTACTTGGATAAATTTTCTCAGCCCAGGATGTTTAGTTCTGTTTTCTCATTTTTACTATAAAGAGATTGTATTTCTACTATCTTCCTGTAGGAAATGTATGCTAATTTTTTCATATTATTTTATAAATATATTATCTTATGATAATAAGTGAAACTGCCTTAAACTCTTAATGAAATGCTGTTTAACGCCACCATGGTAACCTGTGTGTCAAAAATGTATTTGTATAATACTAGCATTTCAGGGCTTCATCTTGGGTCTCCCCTAATTTTGCCAGATCATTTCTGCCAACATTGGAAATGCCCAGATCCTCCTGCAGATTGACAACGCGAGACTGGCTGCTGAGGACTTCCGGATGAAGTGAGCCAAACAGACTGATGACCTCTGACACGCTCCTCTATTTCCTCTCATTCCGTTTTCCTGCTTTCATTGATAGTGTTGACCTTTCACATGCTCCATACCCTTAATGTTTTAGTAAATTCAACATAGGGTATTCTAGAAAGTAATGAGAACCAAATGCAATTTGCATTTAATGTCCTTAAATTCTGAGTTGCTTAAACCTAGGGCTCTGGCTCCCCATAGTCAATGTGCTATTGACTCTTGATGCAACCAACACCGTAAGCCCACCAACTTCCTAAACCTCCATTTTCAGTGTATCAAAATGAATTAATAATTTCTTGCCACGGGGTTAAATGAAACCATTGTTTTCGTGATGCAACATGCCACTGAAAGATGAGCCGTGCACTTATTTCTATATTCCTACCCCCTCTCCTCCACCTCACCCTCACCGACATCAGGATGAAATACTAATTTCCTTTACAACTCACAAAATTTCCACATGGGGTAAGTTGCAGGGGTCATGACAGTTCCACACCTATAAAATCTTGGTGAAAACTACTAAAGAAGTATCAATGTTTTCAATGAGCTCATAAGAAATGTTCAGTAAAAACAGTAACTATTACTTTACTCAGCTGCTTTTAGGATGCGGTTAGGAAGTTACCTAGAGAGGGGCAGGGTGACACACAGGCATGGCAGGCAGCCAATCGGGAAATGTGTCCCTGGCATGAAGTGCTGTTGGGTTTATTGGTGATAGAAAAGTATCAATGTGACCAAAAACAAAGACTGCCTCATATACTGCAATGCTGCCACCGGGAAACGTCACACCGAGGAAGTGCACACTACACAGCCCTGAATATGGTAGGGGCCTTATTCAAATAGCCATGCTGATTCCCTGAGCTGCTCTGCACTTGCCTTTGAGGTATGAGAACGAGCTGGCCTTGCGCCAGAGCGTGGAGGCCGACATCAATGGCCTGCGCCGGGTGCTGGACGAGCTGACCCTGGCCAGGAGTGACCTGGAGATGCAGATCGAGAGCCTGAACGAGGAGCTGGCCTACATGAAGAAGAACCACGAGGAGGTGAGTCAGCAGGACAGCCTGCCAGGTTTTATTTTTCCTCCCAGATCCAAAAATTACACCGTCAAATTGACAAAGCTGAAGTTAGGACACGTATGGAGGCTACATTACCTCCCAGTTAAAATGGCCATTTCTTTTGGGTTTCGGGGGGGAGGGGGATGGCAGTGGTGGCAGGAGTGGGCCTGTTGAGGTTTAACAAATAAGGCACTTTCTGATTTTGCCGTTTTCATTATAAGGTAATGACAATAAGAATTTTAATCATCCTAAGACTATACTTTCAGGGATCATTTCTATAGTTCTTTACTAGAGAAGTCTCTCTGAATGGGTAGAGCCCTGGAAATCACAAGGAAGTGGTCAGTGTTCACTCCTGAGCATGAAGCCGGCTGTGGGTGTTGCTTTACCATGATTGCCATTTGCCATTGATGATCATTCTTCTCTTCCTTTGAGGGAGTAAGAGGGAGGGAACACAGAAAAAAATAGAATTTTAATCATCCTAATTTGGTAGGGTTTTGGTAGGGTAGGTATATATATATATATATGATATTTTAATAGTTACATATATGTAACTATTAAAATAATAGTAATAATACCATATATATGGTATTTTAATAGTTAAAAAACAAAAGTCTACCAATAATATATATATGTGACATAACAATATATATATAATGTTATTTATGTTAGAGAAACTGGCTATACCCAGTGTAAATTCACACACGAGAACAGAGAACGCTGATGTGCTACAGTGGATATTATAGGCTGGTGCACCAAGAGACTTCCAAATCGGCTTCCAAAGAGCCTACTGGCTTTTCCATGACCACCATGTGGTCATGGAAACCTAGGTGTGCAAACCTAGGTACTGTTTGCAGCCTGTGGCTCGGCAGCCGTAGGTGAAACCCCAGCGATGAGCACCCCAGCCTTCTTTCCTGTAGGCTGTTTGAGCCCTCAAGAAGCGGAGCCCCTTTGTCCGTTAGGCACGTTGGGCCCAACCCCAGGTCCTGTGATAATTGTAGGGACCCGTAGACTATGCCTTAAATTGTAAACTCAGAAGAAAAACAAGTCTTTGTTCAGGTAAAAATGTTTTAATAGATTGTACCAATATATTTGTCTTTATACCAACGCAGTCATAAATTAGAATTTCTGATGTATTTTTATAGTGAAAAAAGCTATGAAGGTAAAAGTACCTAGGGGCCACAAAATGTCCCAAAAGGTCCCTGCATCGCCCCCTCCCGTGCTGTCCCTAGGAGCTCCAGAGCTTCCGAGTGGGTGGCCCTGGCGAGGTCAGCGTGGAAATGGACGCCGCCCCCGGAGTGGACCTCACCAGGCTGCTCAACGACATGAGGGCGCAGTATGAAGCCATCGCTGAGCAGAATCGCAAGGACGCAGAAGCCTGGTTCATCGAAAAGGTAAGACAGACAGAAACAGAAGGCTTTGATTAGAGGCATTCGCAGAAAGACCTCTGAGCGACCGCGTCCCCTCCGCCCTCTTTGCTGTTCGCAGAGCGGGGAGCTCCGGAAGGAGATCAGCACCAACACCGAGCAGCTTCAGTCCAGCAAGAGCGAGGTCACCGACCTGAGGCGCGCTGTTCAAAACCTGGAGATCGAGCTCCAGTCCCAGCTCGCCATGGTAGGCTCGCGTGCAGCAAGACGCGGCGTCGTTCCCACCTGCAAAGAGAACGCTGCATCCAAATTACCTTAGACCCTTGGATCCCCTCCATTGTTATGTCTCCATTTCCCTCCCACGTGCAGAAGAAATCCCTGGAGGACTCGCTGGCGGAAGCCGAGGGCGAATACTGCGGCCAGCTGTCCCAGGTGCAGCAGCTCATCGGCAACCTGGAGGCGCAGCTGCTGCAGGTGCGCGCGGACGCCGAGCGCCAGAACTCCGACCACCAGCGCCTGCTCAACGTCAAGGCCCGCCTGGAGCTGGAGATCGAGACCTACCGCCGCCTGCTGGACGGGGAGGCCCAGGGGTGAATAGACAACTGAGGGTGGAAATGCATTCAAGGGCTGACCCAAGAGAGACGCCAGACACTTTTTTGCGGCAATAGAAGGGATATTTCAAGAGTTGACAGATAATCACAAAGCTAGTGAAGCTATGCCTCAGCTTTGCTAAATGCTCTACACTTTGCAAAGTGTTTTTACCTATTATCTTACGTAATAACTCATGAAATACTACGATGAGCAAAGGCACCACAGTCAGAGGCATATTGTGAAAGAATATTTCCATGTGCCAGAAAAATCACCCATTCCATTTCTTTCTTTTTTTTTTTTTTACTATAAATAAATTTAATGACCAAATGATAGACTGGTCAAAAACGTGCATCACCAAGGGCTGATCCCTGTACTAGGAAAGAACTCTCACAAGCACCTAAGAGACAAGCAGTTCTTTTTTTTTTTTTTCAGAGACAGAGTCTCGTTTTGTCGTCCTCAGTAGAGTGCTGTGGCACCACAGCTCACAGCAACCTCTAGCTCTCGGGCTTAGGTGATTTTCTTGCCTCAGCCTCCCAAGGAGCTGGGACTACAGGTGCCCACCACAACACCTGGCTATTTTTGTTGCAGTGTGGCTGGGGCTGGTCCATTTCTGATATCAATAACCCAATGCTAAGCACCACACATTGGGCAGTAGCCATCTGATCTGAACCTCCTGCTCTGCTTTCTACAGAGTACTACCAATCTGACTAGTGGGAAGAGCTCAGGACTGTAAATTGGGAAATCTAATTCCTGAGACTAGATCTTTCAGTAATTTCTAGGTTGTGTCACTTTCTGATATCATCTCCTTCCTTTTCTTGCAGTGATGGTCTGGAGGAAAGTCTATTTGTGCCAGACTCCAAGTCTCAAGCACAGTCAATTGACTCCTCGAAAGGTATGCAGAGTCTCCAAGAATCACTTAGAGAGTATTTATTAACAATCCTATCTATTAACAATTAAAACTGTAATTTGAATTGACTGTTGAATCATTCTTAAGAATTTAAAGTATATTTATGTTCTGGGAAAAAAATGCTTTTTCTAAAGGAAAAGCAGCAAAATGAGTATTTTGTACTGTATTAAAACTTTCTGCAAGCCCAGGATGGAAAAAAAAAAAACAAAACTGATCTTCAACAAGGTATTATGAGCACCATAATCAGCTTTAAAATGCTTAAAAAGAAAAATATTTTCACTTCTGCACAAGCAATACAAAATACATTTTCCTTTCATTGGAAAGAAAGATTTTTTTTTAAGATTATAGAAGTCATTTCTGAAAGTTAAGTCATTTCTTTAAGTTTGATAGATTGTATCAACCAATACTTGATTAGAAGTTTAAATTGACCAACAGCCAATTTTGGATTGATATTTAAAACACTAATTTTTACCCCTTTTATTCCATTTTTATCTTTAGACCCAACCAAAAAACGAAAAATCAAGACAGTTGTGCAGGAGATGGTGAATGGTGAAGTGGTCTCATCCCAAGTTCAGGAAATCGAAGAACCGATGTAAATTTTCAGAACATCTACCCCATGTGGTCTCCTTAGGGACAAAGACTTTACAAACAGAAATTATTCCTTTCAGAGTGAGATGCTATATTCAATCTCTACTTTTCTTTCTCATTTTCTTTCAATCCTCTATTCACATTGAGTCCTTTCTGCCCTTCTGAGACAACTTTGAATCACAAATCATTGTGGCTACACTGATTTATAACAAACAAAAAATCACCCTACGTCTTTCTGGACCTGGAGTAGACTTTTAATGAACTTTCTCCTGGTGACCTGGAACAATTTTTGAATCACAGAGCTTTGATCAAGTAGCATTGTTTTAACAGAGTTGATTTTAATAAAAGATGAAAAATAATAAGGTGAAATGTGTGCCTTCTTGATTCCAACAATAATGCCCATGGCATAGAGAGAGGTGTATGATGTTCTAATAAAGTAGATGAACACTGGGACAAAGACGCCAGGTTGGAGATTAAGAAGATTGTTTTAGAAGTTCAATCCTTTTTACAGCAACCCATCAACACTGTAGCAAAATTATGTTGTCCCACACAGGGAGTAACAGTTGTCCCGCGCATTTTCTTGCACCTTCCTTCATGCAGTCAAGAAACACTGATTGAGCCCCTCTAGTCTGCCAGCGTGGAGACTCAGTGAGGAGGAAGATATGGTCCTTGCCTGAGGACACAATTGAGGGCAGAGGCAGGCATCCAGCAGGAACGGCGATACAGTGAAATGGGTCAGACAGAAGTTCAAAGGACACTTGGAGGAGAAGCAGCCGATGTGTCAGGGGGCAATGAAATGCCACACACAGACATCAGCCAGGAAGATGAGGGAGAAAGGGAACGGGGAGAACACGTGTGAAAAGACACAGGGCCGTGAGCTAACATTGCCTTGCTCTTACTTTTTCCTATTTGGCAGCAGCAAGGCCAAGTGGGGTTCCATTGTGGTGAGTCAGACCCACAAGTCAATAACACAAGTCGTTTTCTGTGTCGGGCAGAAGGCAAAGTCTCAGCCTGAGTAGATGGTTCCATCTGGGTTGCCAAGTTGAAAACCCCCAATGGTAAACAAGAACAGGATTTAATGAGTAAGAGCCTACGCTCTCACACCAGACTGGGCTCAAATCCTGGCTCTGCTACTGAATAGTTAACTTCATAACCTCTGTGTGCCTCAGTTTCCTAAAGTGGGAATGACCACGATGACAGTACCTGCTTCACAGCATGGGTTTCGTGAAGAGTGAACGAGGTAGTATCCATAAAACTCCAGGATCCTAGAAAGTACCGGCTCCCAGAAACTACTCAGTATTCGTGTCCTGTTATTTACTGTGTGGATCCAAAGTGGGATGAAGAAACCAGGGGAAGTGGTGGGCAAGGAGTGGGAAGGAACAGCAGGGAGAGGGAGGAGTCGTGCCTGGAGAAATTCCAGAGCCGAGTGCAAAAGCGAACCCAGGGCTCTCCTGCCAGTTTAAGCCGACTTGCCTCGGTATGCGGCTTTCTCAAGTCACCCGTCTGTTTCCTACTTTTGAGCACTCCATTCATCTCACTTCAGTGTACGTTCCGCTCTCTCTGTTTAGCCCCCACTTTCTAACACACCTCTTAGGAGACCTTTACCTTTCAGGCCCAAAGACATTATCAAGGTCTTCTAGTAAACAAGGTCCACAGTCCTCAAGTAGTAAGTGACGCCACCTCCCTGGTACTCAAAGGTGCCTGCAAATAGTAACTGTTTTAAATACCATCTGTCTTCCCTATGACTACATCTGAACAGTGTAAGATTTGACACAGAAAGAGTTTTGCACAAGGACAAACGCAGTGGTCATTTCTTAGTGCGAACCTTGGTTTCTCAGCATCTCCTTCTTTGGGAAGTATTTTTGTCCATGGGCTCCCAGAGACACCATTTCACTAGATGTGCTTTCTCAGACTTCTCTCTCTGACTTCTGAATGCTGGCTCTGTCCTTGTCTTCTCTCTATACTCCCACTCAGGCAAATCCATCCAATCCTGTGGCTTTAAACACCATCTACACATTGATTATGCCTTGTAGCCTCTGAAAGGTCCAATGACCCTGGCCTCCTCCTCATGCCCTTGGGTAGTTGCCTCCCATGATACACAGAGAGCAGATTGAAGAAGTGACAGGATA